CATAAAAAGTGTATTAATTCCCCCCCACCCTTGATCTGGCCTTGACTAGGGAAAGGTATTTCTCAAAACTAATACTAAGTAAAAGTCGTTTAAGATCATCCATTAATCAAGATCAGCTTAATAAGTTGTCACTAATCAGTATTCAGTCAAATTTGTTGAAAGTAATAATTTATGACTTCATTGAAAAATTTGCTAAAAGAAAATCGCGAAAGGTATCATCATGAATCCAAAAACATTAATGTCAGTTTGTAACAAAAATATAGATTATTTTTTAATAAGTGGAGACATGCTGAATCTTTTCATAAAAATATATTTTATTAAAATCGAAGAAGGGGAAGTTGGAATCGTTCTCGGAAAGGTTAACATTAATTTAAAAATAATAAGTATTAGATTTTTCTTATTGTGATATGAAGAAAAATATTTTCAAAAAAGTTTGGAAAGATTTTTGAAGATAATATACTGAATAAAAATATTGTTGTAGTGTATGAAAGTAGCACCATGCAGCGGCAATAGTAAGCGTTGATTCCATAAAAATTAAGCAAGCGCAAGTTCTTTTGCATTTTGAGTATTACTCTACGTAAATCTAGGCGTAGTCGTCTCATTGTCACTCTGCACCTATCAGTATTGGTTGTAAGTAACACTAAACCTGAGCCTTAAACTAGCATATTCATTCATTCACTTTAATACATGATAAATGTATTTGTAGAAGATTTTTATCTGAGAATAGGTAATTTACAGGGTAACAATGTATACAGCATTAGAGGAAGTAGAAAATCAGAAGATAAAATTACAAATAATGAAGGCAAAAAGTTGATAAATTTCTGTTATTAATATGGCTGTAATGTAAAAAATGCAACAACTAAGGGAGATAGGAAAAAAAAGCTACCTATATAGGGGAGGGTGCGACGCTGTATTTGATATTTTATTAGAAATTGATGAATTTGAAAAAAGTGATGTATTTCAATTAAATGTGGATACGAAAAGACATAAGCACAGAATGGATGAAAAAAAGCAAGAATATATCCCTTGTACAAAAGAAAGGACGGTAATTACAAGATGTCAAATTATTGGGAGGGTAGCGCTACTAGAGGTAAGGTATAATTTTCTAACCAATGTTATTTTAAAACAAATTGAAAATTGGTCTAAAGAAAAAGCTTTTAGGACGTACGTACAACTGTAAAAATGGCTGGGTATGAGATTGATGCTACATTTTCTGGTAAACTCTAAATCACACATTGTAATTTAGTTATATGGATGAAGCGTAAGTACCTGACGCCATTTTAAAAATAATTGAGTTCCTTTGAGAGAGTGTCTGCGAAATAAAAATATAATGCCTATTGCTATAAGACACAATACTTTGAATCTACAGTTGCACCAGCCATTGTTGTACAAATCCCGTTGGTAAAGCTAATTACGTGAGTGAAAAAGTTGTTGGCTATGCAAGTGATCTAAACATATACCTAAAATTTTTGAAGTGCTAAAGAAATAACCAACAGCTAAATATTATTAATGCCAACCATCGACATAACCTTGTTAAATTGCAACATATAGTAAACTATTTTAAAAAATTGTATGAATTAAATTAAAAAATTAAATTTTTTTTAAGCCATTTTTTTTATGGAAAATAACAAATTTTATTTCCTTTTTAACTTGCATAATAGTGCCAGTCAAGACGAAAAAAGTATTGAAAAGTTTCTTAAACGACAATTTCCAGTCTAACAATAAGTATTTTATCAACACCATTTGTTCAGAAAATTCTGAAAACTTCGCATCCCAAAAAAATGTTAGTTTTGTCAAGCCACTACAAAAATTTTTACAAAATAAAATATTTTTAGTTACGTAAAAAACGAAACAATGAAAAAATTTCAAGTTTAATAGTTTCTGGTTTTGCAACTTCTTACTAAAACCAATTAAAACAGGCAGTACATTTTTTTTCCTTCAAAAAATTATTTGAAATATTTTTTCTAATATTTGAAACCACGCAAGTCTATAAAGTTTAAAAAAAAATTATATATTTAATTTGAATTGCATGCTTCTACATGAATATGGTTCTTATTTAGTAATTACACTTTAGTCAAATTCAATTTCAGTTAGGGTAAAAAACAACATGTGAAAAAAAATCATGATTTCTCATGCAGTACATCATTTGTCAGCGGTAAAAGTATTAGAGTCTCGTCATGACGTAAGCTGATGGGGTTGGAGTATAGAGAAACATCAATACATTGTTATTTCAGGAAGTAAACAGTAGTTAAAATAANTTGAGTTCCTTTGAGAGAGTGTCTGCGAAATAAAAATATAATGCCTATTGCTATAAGACACAATACTTTGAATCTACAGTTGCACCAGCCATTGTTGTACAAATCCCGTTGGTAAAGCTAATTACGTGAGTGAAAAAGTTGTTGGCTATGCAAGTGATCTAAACATATACCTAAAATTTTTGAAGTGCTAAAGAAATAACCAACAGCTAAATATTATTAATGCCAACCATCGACATAACCTTGTTAAATTGCAACATATAGTAAACTATTTTAAAAAATTGTATGAATTAAATTAAAAAATTAAATTTTTTTTAAGCCATTTTTTTTATGGAAAATAACAAATTTTATTTCCTTTTTAACTTGCATAATAGTGCCAGTCAAGACGAAAAAAGTATTGAAAAGTTTCTTAAACGACAATTTCCAGTCTAACAATAAGTATTTTATCAACACCATTTGTTCAGAAAATTCTGAAAACTTCGCATCCCAAAAAAATGTTAGTTTTGTCAAGCCACTACAAAAATTTTTACAAAATAAAATATTTTTAGTTACGTAAAAAACGAAACAATGAAAAAATTTCAAGTTTAATAGTTTCTGGTTTTGCAACTTCTTACTAAAACCAATTAAAACAGGCAGTACATTTTTTTTCCTTCAAAAAATTATTTGAAATATTTTTTCTAATATTTGAAACCACGCAAGTCTATAAAGTTTAAAAAAAAATTATATATTTAATTTGAATTGCATGCTTCTACATGAATATGGTTCTTATTTAGTAATTACACTTTAGTCAAATTCAATTTCAGTTAGGGTAAAAAACAACATGTGAAAAAAAATCATGATTTCTCATGCAGTACATCATTTGTCAGCGGTAAAAGTATTAGAGTCTCGTCATGACGTAAGCTGATGGGGTTGGAGTATAGAGAAACATCAATACATTGTTATTTCAGGAAGTAAACAGTAGTTAAAATAAATATATCTTTATCTTTAAGGGGGCTCCTTCGCGAAAGTCCCCAAACAGAGATATATTATTTCTTGTAAATAAAAGTCTACTGAATTTAATGGTGGTCTAAATTATATTTCGAATGGGTCAAAATTTTGAGAAATTCGAGCTCAAAGTTGTAACTATTAGCACGCGTTCCTATGGGGCAGCGTGGAAAACAATTTGTTTTCGTTTATAATAAACCTAAATTAAATGTCCCAGCAGACTGAATATATACGTTTTGTTGATGAAGTCTTCCTCTGTAATATGCTGTATTAAAAATTGTGGATAAAGGACCATTTTAGTGAGATATTTGTGATGGAAATAAATAAATAGTGTCCGGGAGAGGTCAGGAGGTCACGTGGGTAGCGGACGTACTTGTTCACCTAATCGCGCGAGTTTTCAAAAAGTTGAGATTCGTATAGCTTGAAGTTTGTATGTACCTAGCATTATTTTTATCGAATAAGGAGTATGGAATTAAAGAAATATAAACTTTTTGTATATTTTAACGCTTCTAAATATTTTTATATATTATTTTAACAATCCTGGAAAATATACATTTGCAATGACTACCAGGTATAACCTCTTGAGTGCCTTTTTTTCTTATATTTTGTTACATACTTTTTTTCATGAACTTGCCTTTCCTCCATCCTCTTGAGACTCTATGTGCGTGGTATTCTTTTTTTTAGGTGGATTAGAACGACCGTCATCCATTGTTTATCAATTAAATAATGTTAATGACATACAGATACTAAACACTATAGAGGTAGAGGAATAGCAGAAAGGCATGCAAACACGACATATATATACCATATACCTATATATTACATCGCTATACTACACCAACACAGGTGGTGTACCACTGTACCCTCGTCTGCACTAGACTGGTCAAAACAATAATTAATTTTTCGTACAAAGTTTAACTACAGACATAAATATCATTTTTCCCACTTCATACGTTATTAAAAATATATATTAAATAAATAATGATTTTCAGACACATTTGTTTATTGAAAAAAAAAACTTTATTTTTTGTTTGTCTTTGACCTCAGCAGTAGTCGTAGGTGCCCCCTTAAGCGTAGCTAGCTAGTGAATTACTACTTTAGACATTCTGCGCTTGCAGTACTATATCGATCAGTAAACTACAAAACTAACATTAAAATTTGAATATCATAAGAAACATACCATACAGAAGTATTCCAATAGTTTCTTACAAAGTGTGCAAATATTAGTTGTTAGTATTTTTAAATCTTCGTTTGTTTGCATAAAAAGTGTATTAATTGTTGTTGCAAAATTGACATTTCCTTTTAACCCGTCTAGTTGCTGCTAAAACTTCAATAATAAATGATTAATCATTGTGTTAGTAACGCAATGCACCCATTAAAAATGTACGTTTATGACTAGTAAGGTTTTCTTTTAAAGTATTAACGAAAGTATTTAATTTTATAAAGATAGAAAAGTTTTTTTAACAAATATGCATAAGTTAACCTAGTGTAAATCCCATTGTGAATACAAAAGATTTTCTACATAAAATAATTTTTTATTTTTAGAAAAAAAAGCTGCTTAACTCTGTACAATGTTTGGTCAACCAAGCAATAGCAGTTTTGGTATGATTCTTCCTATACAATCATAATATGATCATACTGTTAATTATCAATTATGATCATTATACAAATCTTTTTTAGGTTTTAACACATCTTCCCAAAGTGGCCCTTTTGGACAGTCAGCATTTAGTAAAAGTGTTTCTAATACAAATTTTGGAACCAGCACTCCTCCAGTTTTTGGAAACAACTCATCTCTATTTAATGCAAAAACCGTTGGTACAAATCCAAGCTTATTTGGAAGTAGCACAAGTACTTCCACTTTTGGGACCAGCACATCATCACAGTCATTTGGAGGTTTTACATTATTTCTTACTTTCATATTTACATTGATACTATATTTACTAACTTTTTAAAATCCTTAAAGTTTTTTGTGCTGAGTATAATATATTCTTTACAAACACATATACATTACCACTGCATATTAGAAGTTATCAGTTAGGATCAAGTATTAGAAATGATGATTTACATCATCTTCATATTATCCGACGTATGTTAGTAAAAAGATTAAAGATATCTTAAAGATAAATTAGCTAATGTACGTAAATTAGTAAAACACAGGAATATTAAAAAGTGCTTTAACAGCGGTAACCGGTGCACATTAGGCGAATTGGCTTTTTTTTTCAAAATCGTAAATCTCGATGCAGGATAAAGATATTACCATGATATTTCTTTCTCTTACGGATACTCAGATGAAGTATACAGAAAAACTATAGACAACCCCGTCATATTGTTATAAACAATTATAATTTATCAGTAACAAAAAAACAATTACTAGAAAAGAAAAGAAAAACTCTTTATAAAATTTTGGTTTTCTATACATATTTCTTAAAATGTCTCTAGCTTTCTGGGGTCGCTAATTAGGCAGACTATGTCCAATGCACTCATGTATTGTGCACGTTTTTGTTGTGCTCAAATTTTTGTACTCAAACTATCTTGCATTTATGCTTATAAGCTTACGAATAAAGACCACAAAATATTTTATGATTATTTTCATGCGCACAATATTTTCATGTGCTTAAATCAACGTACATTTTGTGAACATCGCATCAAAATTAAATATTGTCTGTAAGCAAAACTCCTTTAATTTTAGCACAAATACTGTGCACGAAAAAATGTTGATAAAAAAACTTTGTGACCGTTATTAATTAGCTTGTGCACAAAAATTGGTGCACAATCCTTGCGTGCACTTGGTATAGTCTGCCGCTGATTACGTTTCTGAGATTAGTTTTTTCTAAATTAAAAATGTCTGATCCAATATAGCAAACAAAAATTGAGAATTTTAAAACAATTTGATATGTAGAGGTGTTTGTATGTGCTAATTTATTTGGCAACTTGATGATGGTTGTCACAACTTAAGGAAATGCTTTGCTAATACCTATGAAGAGCTAACGAAGCATTTGCTATGTAATCCTTCAGTACAATGTTGTTTCTGTTTAATTCTTACCCAAATTACTCTACAAGTAAATTTTCGGAAAAGTATTGGTTATTTGTGGCCTAATGTTTTTTAACATTTTTGTTATCTATAACCATAATTTTTAGCAAACAACTTCTTTTAAGCTGTCTCAAATTGCCTTATAAATAACAATAGAAATCAAAGAATCTTGTATTGGGCCTTATTTAAAACAAATTGTTGAATAAATTTTTCATGACGGATTTGTATATGAAACACGTTGCTCTACACGCCAATTATCGCTATTAAAGTACTTTTAAATGTCCCTACTTGTGCTGGATAGGTCCTGGGAGGCACGATCCAGCACTGGATAGGGGCTGGAACTTTCAGGGTGACGGTGCAAGGAATAAAAAAATGTGAATGCAATAAATAGAGCGTGACTTTTACTATTTAGAATTAGCTTTATTTCTTTGGCGTACAGATTTACAAAAAGGAAGTAAAAAGCTCAGCGTGGAACAACTGGCTCTCGTACTCACCGTTGGCTGCGCGAGGTACGGAGTTCAGCCAGCACTGTCTGACTCGCTCTAGCGCGGTGCATGCGCTTCTCACAAATGATACACGTGCGTGGAGCACTCAGCTCAAACCGCTTCCGACACCCACACACACACGCGCGCGCACACATAACATAGAGTGTCTGATGCATAGAGATATACGAATAGCGTGCGTTAAACCCCTACAACCCTGTACCAAGCTACGTCCTACGATGTGAGAGAGAACGCTGCTAATATTCCTTGCTTGTCTCTATCTGAATCCTGTGATTGGAAAGTGACACATATATAATCTTTGCACTGGTCTCTCTAGCACTAATGAGAACATCGTAGAACAGGGTTAAGTGGGCTTGGCGCACTCTATTCTTGTATCTCTATGGTCTGATGTCATACGCTACTACATGTGATATCACTGATACCTACGCAGAATTTTTACGTGTCTTTTAATCCCTATCCCTAGTATCTTGATTTTTTCTACCCTCATCCTTTTCATCATTCTCTAAACATACAAATCTTTTGTGTAGCCCTTTAGTGCAAATTTTCTCAGACGACTTAGTTATCTATGTAACTAGCTACTATTTTCAAGGCGCACGATTGTCTCAAGCACGTTTCGCCCATTATCAGATTTAATAGATAGATTTCTTGTAATAACCATGTAACTCGTCTTAACGATCTTTAAATCTGATGCCGATGAGCAGACAAGGTATTGCTTTTCCTCAGAAAGGAAGCACCTTAAAGTTTCGATATCATCTGAAAAAATGCACTGTTTTATTATTTGTTTTATACTCCGTAAATGTAATTTAATAGCATTGTAGGTATTTATCATATCCAAAAATTTTGAGAAAAACTGTTGACGGAGTTTAATCACACGATTCTTCAAGTTTCTGAGGGTAAGAGGCTAGCATGCTAACTTTGAGACTAATAAAGCTCTCGTGGTTGTAAGAAATGTTATAATTTTTTTTTTAGCTTCGGTTAACACAATGATAAGAAATTAAATCATATACTAAGTATGATGACAGTGTAAAATACTAACTTTTAAATTGGATCTTGTTACCTAAACGTCTATTATTCTTCGGCTTCTTCAAACGGTTTTAGAAAAACTGTTCTACTGCTAGAAATAAATCATAGAAATTTATTAAACACTTTTTTTAAGTAAATTATAATGCGATGTACACTTTATGGCGTAACTAGCTGGATTTAACCTCTGATAAGTTCGAGGAAATTCCGAGTTATTCTCACTTTTTTCATGATTATTATTGGCTGCTTCAATCTTTGTATGGATTCAATCAATTGATTATATATAGAATTTAAAAAAATTCAAAATTACAAAAGCAGAAGAAAAATCGAATCAACACAAATTCATATTACTTTATTCATATAGTACAATTAACAAGATGAAAAAAATAGTACGAACCTCTTAAGTTAGTATTGATTTTATGAATTGAAACGCAACCCTTCACTCTGATTAATAAATTTTTTTTAGTTTATAATTGTTTTCCTTGTTGTAGAGAAATTAGTTCTAATTTTTTTCTAGGCTTTTTTAGTCTTAAGTAGTTCAAACTTATAATTATAGAATTTAGAACTTTTACTAGCTTAATAACTTATCCATAGTTTTCAATTTTAAGGATTCTGTTAATCAGAGTTAAAACTGTAAGAGTTAAGTTTAGGTTTTTACTGTCTTGCAGTTAACTTGTTTCGATAAGTATCGTCTTTATGAAAGTAGATTAATTATGTTATTAATGTATATAACTTAATTTTTTTAATCTTCTAGAGCAAACAAAATAATAAACACTAGTTGCGTTGTATTCTCCACATTTCGTTTTCTGGGGCTTTAACTTCTTTAGCCTTTATCAAAAACAATACAAAAATTTCTTGACAAATGACTAACGTTGTAAAAGACATACATTGTTAATAGACAACGCCAAACCTTTATTTTAAAAATCGTGAACGAACAAGTCATAACCGTTGTTTGAAATATAATACACAATCCCGACAGCAACTCGTGCTTAATATAAAATCTGAAAGACTTAGTTCGGTGACTACGCTGTGTGAGAAAACCTCGAGCAAACCAGGCCACTGTAAACTCGCCTCAAAAGTGAATCAAGGAGAAACAAGAAAGAAATGACCGTCGACTTGGGTTCCGATGTTAAAAGCAGAAGCCAAATTATTGTCATTGCCATGAGTACTCTTGTGTAGGATTAGGAACATCGTTGCGGTCAACCTTGTAAGATCTTGTGACTGCGTGCGCGCATGTAGCGGCTAACCAACGATCATAGAAGTAAGTTAAGTTAAGGAAACTATAAGTTGTATTAACATTGTAAATGTGAATCTGATACTTTATTATTTATACTATTTGTAAAATAAACTTTTTTCGGCTTTTCTAAATCTATTAAATCATCAGATAAGACATAACTTGGTTGTTGATTGAATTAATTTTCTTAATTCGAAAACATTCCAATTACTAAATTATATGAAACATTTCAAGTTTCAATATTCTAATAGATTGACACATATCTTACCTTGATGAATAAATTGAATATCGAAGAAAAATTAAATAGACAACGTGTGACAAAGACCTTTACAAGGACGTGAGATAAAAAGATGAATAGTGTACGCTACCACCGTATGACATAAGAAATAAACTTGAACAGTAGGTCAACGCCAGCTGGGCGTACACCACTCCATACATATCGCGACACTGTGACGCTGGCTTTTTCCGCCCCATGTTATCGGGGCTTTTAGTATAGATGTAATAGGTTTGTTTCGAAATTAGCTTGAACGTCTTTAGACGCTTGGCAAAGTAGTTACATTTTCTTATACTATTGACATCTCAGTAGCAGTAAATTGTAAACTTTACAAGACAAAAAATAAACAGAAATCATATTTTATGCTATTAAGGTGTATAAAAATTTCATTTTAACATAACAAAAATATGAGAGTTACTGTTTGGTTCTTAGTCAGTATATTTCAAATATACCTGAACAATTATAACGACAAAAATATATTGTTATTATAATTTTTTACGAAAGTACAAAGATTTAACATTTAAGATAAGTACACTTATTTATTGATGTACGTTAAAATTACTCGAACATACTTTGTACTTTGTGTGTATGTATTTACTTATTACTAGGAATATGGGAAGTACTATAATATACGAATATGTATATAGGTATATATATATATATGTTTATTTCTTAATTCTGAAATTTAGTTAATATATAGAAGAGTGGGAATGTCTTTATTATAAACGAAACTGTCTGTAGTATTTTTTTATATTTATTTTGTATTTTATTACTTAAAATATTTTTTGGAATTAGAATGTCTATTCAATTACAATGAAGCTGCTTGTTGTT